TAGATAGATAGATAATGATCACTGTGTTAGATAGATAGATATTAAACACTGAGATAGATAGATAGATAGATAGATAGATAGATAGATAACACTTTTCTAGATAAGAAACATCTTTTAATTAATACCAAGGTTGAATGCAAATTATCTCTTTTCTTCTTCATCTGCTTATTTTATTTTATTTTTTAGATCTCTGCCTCTGTTTCCGCCATGAATGCCGGGTCTCTAAACCACTGAGGCAGCTGTTAGAGGTTCTCTGTTAATCGGCTACAACGTAATGCATTTCATTAAGCAATACACGATTTATTATATAACCTGTCCCGTTTGGAAAACAGATGTCGTTAATCACTGATAATATCGCCCTATTTCCCAGCTATACCTACGCAAAGACCAACGAACAGGAATACATACGCACGATAACAAAGTTCTGGAATATTATTAATCACAGCTTTTCTTGACAGGGAAAGTCGAAGGCAAATACATACGCGTTAAAAAATGGCAATGTTTTAGAAGCACAAGCATCCGCGGACTCGTAAGTCCGTATAAGCCATGATATTCCAATGAACAAGGAGTTTACGGGTTCTATAGTACAAAGAAAATACGCACGCAGCTAACGTTCATTAGTAACCAGCCTGTTCAGTGCGTCCAACAATGGATTTGCTATCTATCCGCGTTAAATTATTATGCGATATTTTGGAATACTGTATAGAAAGAGCTCTGCGATCTTTACAGTGACCGACAAATTTGATGAATAGGTCTGAATCAAAATTTGCGTGAATGTTTCGGTAAATCTGCTAACCAGACACTTGAAATATACCTCTACGTTCTTGTTGAATCTAACACAGGTTGTTGAATGATATGCTTCAAGGCCGGTCGAGTGTCGGTTGAAACTAAATTTCAGTTTATCCTACCATAATTTTTATATATATATATATATATATATATATATATATATATATATATATATATGTATGTGTATATATATATATATATATTGTCATCCACAGACAGACTGTTTCGCTGTATCACAGCTCATCGGTGTGGCTAGACGTCCGGTTGCCTCTAGATATATCGAAACCCGACTGAATTGGCATCAGTCGGGGATTCTACCACTAAGCCATTGGCGCACGGCAGGGATGAAGGTGAATTTAAGCGTATTTATTTTTAGATAAACACACAGTGACTGAGAGAACTCGATTCGATTTACCGAAGAGTCTTGCATTATTAGCCGTAATAGTCACTGTTTACACTTTCTCCCCAGAGAGCTCAACCGAAATAATTTTTTTCAGGAGCAGATATATATATATATATATATATATATATTTAATATATATATATATATATATATATATATATATATATATCAGGAGCATATATAAATAGGAGGAACGCAATGTAATGGATAAGGGCTTGAATTGAGGAATCGGAGAGCCGTATTCAAAATTACAGTTGAATCCATTACATTTACTTACGTGCTAATACGCTTGTGAAAACGTATGAATCCTCTTCTCCCGCCAGCTATGGGTAAATAGCAGGACAGACTGGGTTCTATAGCCTTGGATGGCAATTGGACTAGGAGAAGGACAAATCTGAATTCAAAACCTGCGGAGGGTCAAGGACCTTGTGGCACTTAGTGCACCAGGTCTCTGTAATTGGCCCTTCAAAAAGTGTGGATGGTCCTGCGCGAAACCATCACCACTATAATTAAATCTCATGTGCTGTTGTCGGGCTATCACTTTTGTACAGGATGTAGTGTGTGTGTGTGTGTGTGTGTGTGTGTGTGTGTAACGAATGCACGTGCTGCAATTTTCGACGGATTTGCACGAAAATTTACATGCACATGCTCCAAGTTAGCAGGAAGGCCAAGACCGACTTTGCATTTCCCAACTCCCATCGATAGTGGAAATAATCGATTTTTTCATGCTTCTACGGCAGTTTTCATGTAGTTTGCGGCCATTTTCTACGGTCCAGAGTGAGAGCTAATAGCTGGCTGCCACGAATAGACAGAAAGATTCTATTGGCCAGCGTGAGAGTCAACAGCTGACTGACACGAATGTTAACTAGCATGCTAGCATGCAAAAAATATCGATAGCTGCATTCGTCACAAGTAGGAAAAATTTAAATCTGCATGGCACTTTACTCCAATTGGCTCGTTCGCTTGCTTAAACTCAACGTTGATTCTGATTCCGCAGAACTGGATTGGGTGTGAAAAAGTATTTGTTGTTAACATTCTTTTTTCATTTGGTTTTTCCAGTTACGAGTTTTTTTTTAAAGCTGATCAATTTTTGTGTTCATTTTGTTTAGTTCTTTTTCGTAACAGATTTAATGTTTAGTATAGAGCTTAGAAAAAATTTGCAGTGTGAGATAGGCAAGAAAATTAAGGCATGTAGCAACAATTACTGGCAAAAGGCACTCCTTTTAAAAGGCAAGGAAGGGCAAAAATATTTTAAGCCAAGTGATAGCGATTTTTGCATGAGTCGTACGATTTTTTAATCAAGCACGGGCAACGCCGGGCCATACTGCTAGTATATATATATATATTTGAGTCTGAAGCTTATGTTTTATATTATGGAGAAACAATTTATACAAAAAGTTAGATAGCAATGCTATTTTGATTAATGTCAAAATCAATTCGCTAACAAAACTTAATGAGACATTAACTTACTATCAATTCATTGATTTAGAAAACCTTTATATTCGAGTTGTTGTCAGATGTTGTATGTTTCACAGTTAAATTTCTAATTCCGACACGTACTCAGTCTATAGCGGGGTTGAATAAGATTGACGTTTTTTTGTTTTGTTTTTTTCATCAGTTGAAATAAGCTTATTCCATATATGAGTTGATTTTGTATTTTATATTTTATTTTGGATTTTATATAATATTAATTATTTGCTCTGTAATGATAAATACATTGAGCTCTTTTTGTGGACCAGTTTTAATATTTTATATTGCTAAAATCCATTTTGGATTATATACCTACGTATTTATTACCTTTATTATATATATATATATATATATATATATATATATATATATATATATATATATAGGAACCAATTAAACACCTACAGTAAAATGGAAATTAATAAGAAAAAAAGCTAGAATATGTAGGTCATTAAATGACCCATGTCCTTTGTGCATACATGAGAAACTATATATTACTAAGTTTATAAAAAAATAAAAATTTACTGAATCAAAGAAATGAAATAACTATTTTTTGCCGTCATTGTCAAAAATTTTCCTTAAATAATATTTAAAAAAAAAAAAAAAAAATATTAAAATTTTAAATTTAATACATTTACTTGAAAAATTTAAAATTTTAAATATAGTCTATTATTACATTTATTTATTTAAAAAAAATAATATTTTAAAATTCTAATATTTAAAATTGTAGTTAAATAAAACGTATTCTAACCCAAACACCCGTTTAAGAAAGAATCTTTATCTATACAAGTACGAATTTAACGGGAAAAAATGCCGAAAAACTTTTTGTCGTTAATTAAAAAAAAAAACCCAGACGACATGCATTTAACGGATGTTAGAATTCGTTGAAAAATGCACCCTTACTCTACATAGACTTAACCTCTTTTTTGAACGTAACTCATAATTGATACAATAATAGTTAATAAAAATGAACATGCTACTGCCCCTGTCTAAATGATTGAATTTCTCTGTATCCTTGGAAACAAAAAATTATGAATTGTATGTGTGTTTAAAACTCAGTAAATTTAAAAATAAGTTATTCCAAAATTCGCTTGAAGATGAAACAGAACTAATGCTTTTAATTTAATTATATAATTAAATTTGAAGTTTTTAGCTTCGGTTTTTGAAACATGGTAATTCCTGTGTAGCGAAGAAACCATATTTTAAAATCAGTTAATTTATAATATTTATGCTCTGTAAATTTACATTGAGCACTGTTTTAAAAAAAATAAAAATATCAATAAGAACACCGGATTATATATATCTTACTGTTATTTTTATATATATATATATATATATATATATATATATATATATATATATATATATATATATGAATCATCTTCAAAAGCGAGAGCAAGATCTAAAAGGTCAGTCCATCTAACAGAGATCTTATCTCACAATCCTCACATTTGCTCTATATAATGGATTATTATTTATAAATCACTATATGGGTCTTAAATGCCATTAATATTATCGCATAAACTTTCATAACTGAATCAATAAAGTGTCAGATCCTCATACGTCGAAACCGACGGGAGAGATCATTACCATATTTATAATATATTATATATATATATATATATATATATATATATATATATATATATATATATATATTTATACATATATATATATCAAGCATTTATAACACAACGATTTTCTAATGATTTTCCATCCATGGTGGATTAGTTGGAGATATGTATGATATAAATAGCTTTTTGCTCAATATCTTTTCATATAGAAAAAATTTTAATTGCTTATTATAAATTGAAATGGAAATATTTCTCAAAAGAAAAAGTATAGCAACAGAACAACAAAGACGTATACGACAAGAATATTTCAAGTCGAAGTTGAAGCAAGACAATCACTTAATAGACAAACACATCTGAATGCTCCTCATGAAAGGCTTGAACACATAAGACTGCAATCTAAGAAACGTAAAAATAAAGAACTGATTCATTAAACAGGAAACTATTTTGTCTAAATACAGATACATATTTTATTTGCATTGATTATTAAAACAGCCAAGGGAAGTAATCACTCAAATTTACTAACAAAAGTGGATTTACCTCCCTTGTCACTACAGATGGGGCAGGAAATATATAAATAAATACACATTGATAATTATTATATGGTTTGATTATTCACACCTTGAGTGTTCACATGAGTAGCAAATGGTGGCTATCACTGGCGATCAAATGACCTCTTAAAAACTCTAGATCTCTCCCCAGTTTATTTGTAAAGCTGTTTTTTTTTTATGTTTTCGATTCTTAATTTCCAGTCATTCTAAACGTTTTCTTGCGCATTTTGGGTTTGTTCTTAGCGCTCCGGCAATTACTGGCATGACAGTTAATTGAATGTTTTCTTTTGTCATAAGTTTCTGCTATCATATTTTTCAACAAAGGATCTTTCAGCAGTAAAAAAAATGGTTTGGCATAAAGATCAAGTTTCAAATTTTCAATGCTGTTATCTGGATATAATTATTATTATTATTAATGATTTTTTGAAAATGTCCTGGTATAATACTTATATTTCTAATTTTCTAATCGTTCCATATCATCCTTCTTCTTCTTATTTCTTTTCTATTCATACCACTCCTGATAAATGTTGATTTTCTTCTAAATTTTCCCGAAAATGTAAATTCCTCCCTTCCTCATCCTCATTTTTATCCTTTATCTTCTTCTTCTTCTTCTTCTTCTTAT